TGCAGGGGTCAGTACTGCAGGGGTCAGTACTGCAGGGGGGAGTGCAGGGGTCAGGAGTGCAGGGGCCAGTACTGCAGGGGCCAGTACTGCAGGGGCCAGTACTGCAGGGGTCAGTACTGCAGGGGGGAGTGCAGGGGCCAGTACTGCAGGGGCCAGTACTGCAGGGGTCAGTACTGCAGGGGTCAGTACTGCAGGGGTCAGTACTGCAGGGGGGAGTGCAGGGGTCAGGAGTGCAGGGGCCAGTACTGCAGGGGTCAGTACTGCAGGGGTCAGTACTGCAGGGGTCAGTACTGCAGGGGGGAGTGCAGGGGTCAGGAGTGCAGGGGTCAGTACTGCAGGGGTCAGTACTGCAGGGGTCAGTACTGCAGGGGGGAGTGCAGGGGTCAGGAGTGCAGGGGTCAGTACTGCAGAGGTCTTGAAAAGGGCTGTAGCGTCCCTCTGGGCCTTGGCTGAAACACGAGGCCTCGACAGCATGCCCCACCTGGACTCATGGCCGCGGCCTGAACCCGGGAAGCATCTGGCTCCGCAGCTCGCTCTGTCACATCAGGGGTCCGCTTCAGGGGACATGGCTCAGGCTGGACCTCATCCTTCTGGGCCAGGATGGAGCAGTGCAGGTCCAGCTCGCTGCGCAGTGTCTCGTTCAGTTGCTCGCTGCTCCTCAGCTGTTCCAGCAGCCGGCTGTTCTCCCTGCGCAGGCCATGCAGATGGGTCTCCAGCTCCACCCCACCTCCTGAGAGACAGGAACCACAGTGTGGTGATGCAGCACTGAACATCAAGTCAATGTCAATTCCAGAACATTCTATCTTCTGGTACATTTGTACAAGTTTTAAAAATGAAGCATCCCTATTATCAAAAACACAAAAAAGGTGAGCAATTGAAATGTATGTGAGGCAGCATTTTGCCCTGATAATATACACACAAGCCTGTCAAGCCCAGAGTAACATTAATAAGCAGAATTTCAGATTTTTCCTTTTTCTTTTTACCTGGTCTGATATGCTTTCTGGATGCTGCAGAAGCAACGTTGTCATGGTGACGCACTGCAGAGTCCACAGCAGATACAGATGCAGTGCTTGTGGCTGCGAGGCCTGTAGCAGAGACCCAGAAGAGACTGAGAATCATCCTGTCTGTGGGCCCCCCCTCAGTGAGCTCGTCCAGACTTCTGCTCATGTAGCATAAACATGCATGTTACAGTGACTATCTACACAACCACACACTTCCTCTGCAAATATAACAGAAATTCCACCATGTACTTTTAAATCGGGTGATAATGCATTTTTTCTGATAGCCAGCCGACAATCTGGAGCTCATTGATCTAAAAGGTAAATACTGGCACTAAATAGTCTCATAAGTATGGCTGATGACCAGTAGTAAATATATAAGTATGTTTTGATCTTTCCTGATTTCTCCATTATTTCTTTCTTTTTTTTTTTTAAACCCCTGTCGTGTCAGGCTGTTTAGCAAGCAGGATGTTAGTCTGGGTGCTATACTGTGCCAACAGTTTTTATTTTTTGCCAAGTGGAGCTTCGGATTAAGCTCCTCTTCTTACTTGAGAAATACTCTTTATTCACCATTTTAGATTATTGCGCCATTAAGCCGCAGCCGACAGGGA